AAACATTTGTCTTATCTCCCCTAATATCTTTGTGGATTGGGAAAACTTCCTCTGGCTTGAGGATTATTTTAATTTTTGTTATTAGGAACCTCCTCTGGCTTGAGATTATAAATGTGTTACCTGTATCAAAATCTTGTTGTATCTTAATTTTTATTATAATCTCTAAGTGTTATCTTTGTTGGTCTTGTAAAATCTGGTTACAGTGTTCCAGCTTTCTCGCACAGGGACCATTGCGCAAGAATGAAAACATGTAGATTGTAAGGCAAGAATCCTGGAAGGGTAGAGTGTGGGGAAGGTGGGGTTCCTATGAACAGGATCCTCACTGAACTTAAACCACCTGATGATGTACCTGGTCTGTTGCTAGGCTACACTTCCACGCCTTTAGGCAATAAGCTATTATTGCGCTATATAGAGAGCTCGGTCCAGTGCTCTGGGCGGAGGCAGAGACGCTAGTGCTCGACCTACTGCTGGGAGAACAAGCAGGGAAATAAACCCTTTCACCCTAAAGAATGTATGCTGTCATTTTCTACGGTCACATTGAATCCATAGAGAACTTGCCTGGGGCTGAAACCCATTGGCAAGACAAATATGGAAGCTACAAGGCTGTTAGCTCTACTGTTTTTACCAAAGTTTGGTAGTTTTTCCAGAATTAACACTACTCATATTCTTTCAAGCCTTTCACTAATTAATAAGAGTTCTGAAAAAGTTAATTTTGACCATTTGTCTTGCCAATGGGTTTCAGCCTGGGGCAAGTTCTCTATGGATTCAATGTGACCAAAGAAATTGACAGCAAAATGTTCTTGGGGTGAAAGGGTTATACCTAACTTTATTTTCAGGTGGCAGGTCAGCCACTAAAATCCCGTTCACTCAGAGTGCGTCTGCATGCACCAAGCTGGTCTCTGCCTCTGGGCCTTCTGCCCACACAGTCGTCTTCTCGGCCCCTCTGTCTGAACAGCTCTCCTCTGGGCCCCTCTGTCCACACAGCCGTCCTCTGGGTCTCGCTGCACAGTCATCCTGCACAACCGTCCTCTGGGCCTCTGTTCTCGGTGCTGCCACCACTTCAGCCTCTGCTCTACTGCAGCCTTGCAGCTGTGCCACCATGTCATGTGCAGAGCACTGGGCAGAGCTTTTTATATAGAATCAAATTGCCCACAGGTGTGCAGTGATCTAGTCAACCAGGGCCAGGTGAGAATTCTGGCCACAAGAACTCTCATTTTATCCACACTCCACCCCTCCAGGATTCTTTCCTCTCAATCTATGTGCCCTCACTGCTTTACAAGAGCTTCCCTGCGCAAGGAAGCTTGAACATTGTTCTCCAGCCTTTCCAACAAAAAGTCTTGCAGACAGACCAGCCAGACTCGTGGCTGTCTCTGACCTCTGCCTCTTTAGTCTTAATGGCTGGAACTGTTGCTGTGGTTTCAGTTGTTGCCATACCTCCAGTAAGACCTTATTTGGCTTCCCGTCTAATTTCCTTCCATCTACTCCTGCCCATATCAAATCAACCCACATCTGGGTCCGCATAACCCTCACGGGGCCCCTCAAATTCCTCCTGTGAGTAACAGGTCTCATTTCTTTCTGGGTTCTCATTGCTTCAGCTACTGTAAATGTCACCTTGCATTTTGTAATCGCTGCCTCAAGGCGGGCTGCACTGTCAGGGAAGACAGCTTTCCCATCTCTGATCCCAACAGAACAATTCCATTCACACCTAAGTCCCACAGCCACTGGCTCAGCCTGAGTATAAGGGTGGACCATAGAGTGCTCCATGACCTGGGGAGGGGGCTGCTCCTCTCCTTGGGGAACTTTCAGCTGCTGGGTCTTTATTTTCTTTACAACCACTGGGCATGCTTTCAATACAGGAGGGGCCAGTGCTTCTGGCACCACCCCTTCATCCTTCCCCAGCTCCTCCATTTCTGGGGCTGATAGCATCTTTCTCTCCACTTCCCCAAGTGCCTCCTCTGTTACAGTGCCTCATAACAATGCCAGCTCAGTCTTCAGCAGCTCTCTTACCTTCACCTCACTGCTTCAGAGCTGACATTCTCATACCACCTCCACCTGTGCTTCCCTTAGGAGTTCGTCTTTTTCCTTGATGGCCTCTTCCTCCTTCAGAACACCTGGCAGTGTTGCTGTCTTGTCACCAATGGCACCTTGCTGCCAGCATTCTCATGCCACCTCTTGCATCAATGCCATCTCCTTCTTCAGGGAATCCACAGAAGTTTGCAGCTCGTGTTCTCATGCCGCCATTTCTTGGGTCTCCTCTATAGACTTTTTTAATACTGTGAGAAGCAGCCAACCCACAGTCCCCACTGCCTCATGGGCACTCTGCTTCTCAAAGGATCTACTTATTATACCAAGGGCCACCCCTACAGCCTCAGGTGTCACCTCCACTTGACTCCAGTCCTGGGGTGGGGCCCAGTCCTCTAGGAGGCAAGCCACCTCAGACCACATACCCATTGGGGGACTATCCACTGTTTTCCCATTCACAGGAGTAGCCCGCTGAAGCACCCCTTCCATAAAGGCAGCCTGTCTTTTTCCTTGGTTAACAATGAACTCTGCTGACTTTCACCAATTGTCTTGCCAATGGGTTTTAGCCCAGGGCAAGTTCTCTATGGATTCAATGTGACCAAAGCAATGACAGCAAAACGTTCTTGGGGTGAAAGGGCTATACCCAACTTTATTTCCAGGTGGCAGGTCAGCCACTAAAATCCTGTTCACTCAGAGTGAGTCTGCATGCAGCAATCTGGTCTCTGCCTCTGGGTCTCTCTGCCTGCACAGCCATCCTCTGGGCCCCTCTGTCTGCACAGTCATCCTCTGGGTCTCTCTGCACAGCCGTCCCACACAGCCATCCTCTGGGCCTCTGTCCTCTAGGCACTGCCACCATTCCAGCATCTGCTTTGCTGCAGCCTTGCAGTCATGCCATCATGCCATCATATGGAGTGCAGAGCACTGGGCAGAGATATTTATATAGAGTCAAATTGCCCACAGGTGTGCAGTGAGCTAGTCAACCAGGGCCAGGTGAGAATCCGGGCCACAGGAACTCTCATTTTATCCACACCATTTTTCCAGTGTTTTTGTTGCTGTTATAGAGGGGTGAATTATAACTCTGCCATTCCTGCTTTTCTTTTCCTGATAGCCTGGTTTTATTATTTGAAAAATAGTTTTTGTTTTATGTTAGACTCATTCTTCTCAAAGTGTGAGCCTTGAATCAGCAAAATCACCATCACCTGAGAGCTTGTTAGAAAACCAAATTTCAGGTCCTTTCCAATGCATCTGAGTCAGAATCTGCATTTAACATCTCCAGGAGATTTTTTTGTACATTACCGTTAGATCAGTGTTGGTCTAAGTCAGTATTGTTTCAAGTTTAATGCATAGATAAGGTATTTAAAAAGCTTCTGGAAAGCTTGCTTTACATGGTGGTTCTTGGAACCCAGGCCAAACTTACTAAGTCAGAATTCTTGCAAATAGAAGCTTGGGAATCTGCATTTTGAACAAGCAATACAGATTATTGTAATGAAGTGTGAGAAGCTGCAGTAATAAATAGTATTTTTTTCCCATTTTAATGTTAGTCTCTAATTTTTACAGTCAATGTTTCTATCTATTTTAAAGAACATATGTTCATTGCAATTAAGCAGGGGCTTTTCAGACAGAAGCATATGAATGCTATTTTAGCTTAAAGTGGTACATGTACAATGTATGAAAAATTTAATATTTATTAGATTGGTTTTTATCCGTATTTGTGTGTCAAACTGTATTATCTTTGTGACCGCTTTTTTAGCCAAGACCAATTATGACCAAAGTAAATTGCCCCAATGATTCACCTTGGATTTATAGAAATATAAAGAAATAGTGTAAATTTTTTCTGCCTCATAATTTTATGAGATTTAAATGAGAGTCAGGGCCTGATTTTAAATTTAAATTACTCTCTGGAGAAGAACTCTTCCTTTATTTGCTTAACTATAACTTTAAAATGATATAAGCAGATCTGGTAGTCTGATACATGTCTTGCATAGTTTCATAGTTTTCATTTTACTACAGTTAATTTTGTCTGCTTAAAAATTTTTAATATTTAATATTCATATAATCCATAAAACCCTAGTATAAAAGCATCAGAACTGTCAAGCTAAAATAAAAGAACAGAAACTGTTAGCATTCAAACACTAGGATGTGTGAAGATATTTGGCATTTTTGTTTTTGCCTGCAGTTGTATGTATTTGTATATATGTGTATGGTTCAAGACTAAAACATTTTATTAATTTCATTTATCTGTTTTTCCTGTAAAGCTATTATTGTGAGATTTTAATAACTGTTACATAATAAAACACATTTCTTTCAACAAATCTGTTCTTGGTATTATACAGATTCTGTTCAACTCTGCAAGTAGAATTAGGCCTTCCTTACATGTTATGTCTTCTTGACATTTTTCACTTTCTGCTGCAGTATCATTTCCACACTATCCTCCCACTGCAATGTGGGCAGCCTAAGGCAGAGAGGATAGCACATTCATGTTTGTATTTTCCAGCACCTAGTGCCACGGCTAACATGTAATGGAGTCTCCATAACTGTTTCTTGAGTGAATGAGCATTATCATATTAGAAGGAATGAATTGCTGTGTGATTCTAGAAGATGGCATAATTATTAATGCACTGATTGAGTAGGTTTCTGCATCTCATGTCTACTTCTGAAGAAACATTTCTCTCTTTTGGAAATAGGATTAGAAATTATGAAATGTGTGCAGCTCTGACAATGCGCTGAGACTAGTGTGTGATGTTCACATTGTTTCTAGTGTATAATTTGGGCAAACATTTACATACTTCCATTCCAGATCTTTCCCTTCTTATATGTTTTGAGTTGCAGAATGAGGACACATGGATTTTTTTAACTCTAACATATTCTGATTCAAATTGTATTTTATGAATAAAGGAAAAACTTATAAGATTGTTGTGGGGTCATCTGAATTTTCTTGCCAGTAGAATTAAAAATAATCCTTTTTTCATTTATTTTAGTGTCATTTTGGTGGAGTCTTCAACATTTGTTTCTTTGCCATGTCAACTGACTGAATCTGGACAATTTGTTAACCATACAAATAATGGGTAAATGTCAACATATTTTATGCTTATAATTGAGGAGAAAATCTGAGAAATTAGCATTTAAGTAAACCTGTTATATAATCACACAATAGTTTTAATTTATTTTAAATGTTTAATTTGTGTTATATAAAATTTATCTTATTCAAGCTGTTTTTCTCACTTTAGATGTTGCTAGGTTTATATGCATGAAAATTGAATAAATAGGCACTTGATTAAATACAGTGGATTCTCATTATTCACGTTAGTTATGTTCTATAAAATTGTGGCAGTTAGTGAATACTGCCATTACTCCTAGGAGTATATATATATATATATATGGCACTTGATTAAATACAGTGGATTCTCATTATTCACGTTAGTTAAACACACACACATATAATCACATAGATTATAATCATAAATCTTCGAAGCACTATATTCCTGGTAGATTGTATTTTCTTTACACAGAGAAAATGAGGTTCAGATGTATTAAATGATTTGCATGACACTGACCCACCAACAAGTGCCAGAGAATTATCTCCAACCATGTCCACCTGGCCCCAGAGCTAGAGCTTCCTGCACTTAGGCACTTCTGTACTGCCCCCTAGCATCTCCATTCTCTGCTCACCCATGTATGATAACTGAAACAGAAAAGCTCAATCACCTTGTTTGACCTCACCTGGGAACTTGCCTGGCTGATGACATGAACTTCTCACCTCTCCGCACATATCCTGAAACAACCATGAAAGCACGATGAGTATTGATTTTGGGGTTACAAATCAGTTTCAGCAAGGAGGAGAATTTGTAAATAATAGAATTCATGGATAAAGAGAACTGACTGTATTTAAGCTTATTCCACCTGTGTTATGATGTCTATATTTTGTTTAGAAAGGAACTTTGACTTCTGAATAGAGAAGCAGAATTTTTTAGTTAGGTTGCTTTGTATTTCTCTTGTTTTAAAGTATAGAATGGCCATTTAAAGTGAAGTAGAATAAAAATGATGTTACCAAGGTTAAAGAAAGTCAGACAGAAAGAAAATAATGTAGGTATCTGTTAGTGAAACATGTGCATATTGACCATTACTATGTTGTTAGTTTATTTTATAACTGTCTCTGTGTAATTCTTGACAGTATCAGTGTCATCCTTTTAGATCTAAAAAAACAAGGATTTAGTAATTTTGATAACATAAGAATTCTCAATATTAAAGTCATCAGAAACCATTAAAGTGATTCTGCAGGTCTTGCTAAGATTAAAATGAATGCAGTTTTTTTTTTCCAAAAGTGAATTGTATTTAAACCAATAGTTTTAGGGGATTATAAGTATTGTATTTATTATAAGATGTTAGTTTTTCATTGGTTCTTTGGGGAGGAAAATTGGTAAAGGAAAAACCATTTTGGTCTTACTGTATTTGTTCTATTGCAAGCTTAATTCTTGTTTAACTAAGGCATTGAAAGTCTTCCTTTCATATTTTAGTTTAATGAACAATAAAATGTGAATTAATATATTAAGCTATAAGGTAATATTATAGATATTATAAGAATAGAGTATTGTAGGCTTTTATGTTAATTTCCTTGTAGTGCCAAATACTAGATTACGAAGAATGCTTTAACAAGCAGTTCTTCTAGCTTTTTATCTTTTCAGTCCCTTGCTTCTTGATTACACATCTGCTTTGTAATAATAGATTTTACCCTGAGTGGCCTTGAAGTAATTTCTTCACATTAATTGCAAATAATTTATAGTGTCACGTATTAAACTAGAGTCAGATCTCCAAGCAATGCTGTAGGTTTCTGACATAAATAACTCAAACTTGGATCACTTCATTGCACAGAAAAATTGAATCTACTTTTATAATTTACAATGTAACAGGAATTCTGTATCCCAAATTTTAACATAATTTCCTTCATATAATATTCAGAAAGGGTTTTGATTAGATCCCAAGTTCCAAAATTATTGAAGCTTACGGACATCTTTTTTATGTTATGCTTCTTAAATCAGAAACAAAATGGAATGAACAAATATTAAGGCATTTATGATTTAATTTCATCAGAAAAGAAAACTTTGGAAATCCTCACCTGAAATATTTGCCAGTTCAGCATGAAGTACAGCCTAGGAAGTATGTCTGCCATGGTCTCACACGTTATCGATCATTCTTTCTCATAGTCTCGTCCATTTGTATTTATAATACTGTACTTTCCTAGTTATCTCAAGCCTTCTTGTGATAAAAGAAAAAAAACATAAAGTACAGTGACCTTGAGTGTTGCCTTGCCTCAGGGAGAACATGATCCAATATAGAGTAGTCAGGCCTCTGTAGATGAGCTCTCACAGACTACCTCCCAGTCATTAGTTTAAAGCATTGAGAATCTATTCCTGTGTGCCTCTTTGAAGGCTGTCCTCCAGACCAGAGGCAAGGGTGGGTCTTAGAAAGGCAAACGCCACTCAGTTTCTCAAAAAAAAGGGCCGATTCTTGGTTTGTCATTTCACCACTGTCATGGGCTGAATGCTGGGCCCCAAATCCATAGTGTAGACTTGAGGTAGACCAGTCTTATGTCACTAAAAGGCTGTATTTCTGACCACTCTGAGGAGATTTATTGGAAGCAGTTACTGCGGCTCTCCATCTGGATCCTGACTGTTCAGGTAGCAGGCAAGCCCTTACTCGCTTTCTCAAGTATCAGCTAAGGTATCCAGAACTCCAACAATCAAATCCACGTTACAGGCCACAGAAAGGAGGAAGTTCAGGGATAAGAATGCCCTTTCTCCGTTAGGGAAGCTTCCCAGAAATATAACAGAGCACTTCTGGTTGTAGCCCACTGGGCAAATCTTAATTAGATGACTGTCTGGACTAACTAGAAGGAAGACTGAGAAATTACTTTTCTCCATATATATATCAAAATAAATTGAGGGTTTGGTCACTGAGGAAAGGGCCAATGGTTATTGGAATAGGCAAACAAGAATTTCCACCACGTGGGAACACAAAAGAGAGTTTTATCTTTAAATAACACCAAGTTATCTAATATTTCATCAATCTAGCTTTATCACCATAATGAGGCCCCTTGGTCTTTAAATATGTCTTAGGAATATAATACTCAGTAATGTCACATATCCCGTTTTTCTTAAAGCTCTCCTTAATATTTGCCTCAGATAGTTTTCCTGGCACAAGCAAAATTTAAGAACATGCACTTTAAATCATGACCACAACAGAACTGTGGTATAGACCCCTATAATTAATTTTCATATGTAATTACATCGTCTCAGTGAATCCCTGGTCTGGTCTCTAGGTTTAATCAGCGAAGTACCATAAGAGAATAAGAAAAAATTAAGGGAAATATCCATAAACTATCTGTATTTCTTTTAGAGCTTTTTAGAGATATCCTTAGTTTTCTCTTGTTAGGCACATGGTAATATTGCACTTCCTCAGTCATGTTGTAAGTTATGTGTGAACATGTAACTTAATTGGCTAATGGCATTGGAGGCAAGATGCTGAATGTTTTTCCAAGTGGTAACTTTAAGACACAGTGAGCACGTTTTATTGTTCCCTTGCCCTACCACAGTTTATTAGAGAAGTGCATACAGAAATGAAGCCTCCTTTACCAAGTGTCTCTGAATGCATTCTCACCACCTAGGGTGGACATTTAGTGTGATACATAAATTATTGTGCTAATTGCCTGAGATATGGGGTTATTAGTATAGCATGGCCTAGCATATATTCTCTTCCTCAGAGTCACTACAGTCAGTATCTCCCTCACATTATTAATTTTTATTCTCAAATGAGCAGTAAAGTGCTGAAATTGTGTTTTAGGTGGCATAAAAAAGACAGTCTTCTATTAAAAAATAAAAATGCCTCTATGAACTGCTCTTTTTAAGTAATAGATGATACATATAAAACAACACATTTGAATCCACATGGATTATAAAACTTTATATTTGTCACACATTTTACTTTACAGGGACATGATCCATGAGCATAAGTAAGAGCAATTAAGAAATTCTTATTCTAATTAAATCCAAAGGATTATCAGGAAGGATCAGGACAGGAGACGGATTTTAGCCACACTTTAAAACTGAACGTCATATCAGCAGTGCTCAGAAATGAGTACTTTCTGAATGATTTCCTACAGTGACATGACTTACTCTTTTTTTCCAGTGATATTGAATTATTTATCATTCAATAAATTTTTGCTAAGTGGCACCTCAAGTACAGTTCTGAGTATTGGAGGAATATAGGGTTAAATAAGTCACAAATATGGCCCTCAAGGAGCCATCCATCAAGTAGAGGGAAAAAATACAGAAATGGAGACAAGTGTACAGAGCAGAATGCATTCAGCAGTATATGTTACTCCAAAATAAGCTCCTGATTGGCAAAGATTATCACTCTCTAAATATTGTAGAGAGCTTCATAGGAGAAAAGACATTTAAGGACACTCATTTTGGGAGTTAAGATTATCAAAGTATTAAAAAATTATCATGTATTAAAATATACACTCCATTAGTACAATACATAAGATCTGTGGAAATAATAGCCAAGTCATAGTACAGCTAATATTACTGTGGTTTGACTTAAATTGTTATTAAGAGTTAGTGGACATCACGAAGGAATTTTTACCCACTTAAACTCACAGATTCACTCTGTCCTGGGACCCCAGGTCAGCATCCTTTGCTTTAGAGACTTCTCAACTGCTCAGGGGCCAAAGTGGTATAAAAAGCAGCAAACATCCCATTTTTACTGCCCTTCAGATGGCCACAGGGCCCTTTTTTGAAGAACTCCTGGACACACAGAGGCTGAAATGAACCTGAAGATTGATCCTCTTATTTTTCTTCCCATGGTGCATAAAAACTATGTGCTATTTGGTTGCGACACAGCCCTGAATGCTGACCCAAGAGTAGCTTCATGAAGGCTTATAATAAAGATCTTCCTTCCCTACCGGGAAAGGCTTGAGTAGGAAGTCATTCTGATTTACATGCCCTGAATTGAGCCAGTTCAGTGTCATTTTGATTAATTTACCTTGAAAAGAGCTGCATGCCATTACTACAGAGGAGAAAGGGGTGTAATCCCTTCAAATCCCATAAGTAGGTTCTACTCCCTGACTTTGGCCCACTACTAAATTAGCAGAAAATATTCCATTGCTTGAGCTATGGTATTTCATATAATTTTAGCCCTTTTTGATGCAATTTCTTCCTTAAGACCAAGAGTTTAAAACATGCATCCTCTGCCATAGCAATAGTCAGTGAGCATCTAGGTGGATGGCAGCATGGACTGGGATGCAAGGAGTAACAAAAAAGGTAAATGGCTTAAGGTGATTTCTGTTCTGTCTTTGGGACATGCAAGATACTAGTTTTGGAAACAACTTGGGTTTACCACTGAATTTCTTGAATCAAGAACACTAATCAGATAAAATAGAATTTTCCTCAGCCAAATTATTTTATTAAATTATTTTCTGATGTCTCTGAATTAATCATGATGATAGTTAACTTTATCAACAAGTCAATAAAATTCCTAGCTCTACAATTTTTTTTCTGTCTTTAACATAAATAGTACAGGTTACTCAGTTTTGGGGGCCTTGAGAGTCTCCTTTGAGGAAGAAGCAGTTATTTGATTTATTCCTAAGGCACTTTCATTAGCTGTTTTCCAACAAAATAGGTACAGAAAAAGAAAAAGATGAAGCCCAAATTGCTCTGCTTTTCTATTCATTATGAAAAAAAATGACTGAAGGGCCAGCGATTGCAAGTATTGAACAAAATGAAGCTTGGATATTATCTGAGGATTTTAATCAGGCATTCTACCCACAGCTCCATTATCAAAGAGATGGCAATGGAGCTCTACACAGAGAATTAAGCATTCTTTGTTCTTTCCACTCTGTATGCTTTCCCTTACAAATGCTAAAATATCCATCTATTAAGTCTCTGGTAGCCTTAGTTAAAGTATCTATCAAATGCTCAAATTACATAAAATAATAAATGTTTTTCACATCAAAAAAAGTCATTACTTAAACTGCTAATGAGAATGCTTGTGAGTAGAAGTAAAGCAGAGATCTGCCAATTAATTTTCAGAAATGCAGCCAGAGATTAAACAGCTGCCCAGGTCTTCTACCTTCATAAGAAAGAAGCAAATGTGGAAACAATAAACTGAGAGAAGAGAATTTTTCAAGAAATCATATTCTAGAGCCAATTCTGGAGAGAGTGCCTTTGTAATCCTAAATTGAAGCCACCTCCTTTAAAGTCTCAGGATTTGGGTTTTTATTATCAAATGTTTACATCTCTATAGTATTTGAAAGTAAAAAGGAATTGTTTTTACCACAACTCCTGAAAAACAGTGGTGGAAATATTTATGATAGTTTCCTTTTTGCATTTTTTAAAATTGCAGAACAATATAAACATGAAAATGACATATGAAATGAACTTGTGATTTTGTGTATTGTAGGTAGCCATAATTTTTAATGATCTGTAAGATGTAATAGAGAAAGAGAATTGTTTTTCAATTTTGTTTGTGTTGTTGATGTTGTTTTCCTGTTTCTTTATGGTAGTGATGCTGTGAGTAGCTGTGAACATGATGTTGCTGAGGGTTGTTTCAATGCCCCACAAGCCTTAAAAACTTGTGAGTATACCTCAACTAAAAGCTTTTACAAGTGTGCCTGCTTTTATTGTGCTTCATTTTATTGCACTTAGCAGATACTGCATTTTTCACAAACTGAAGGTTTGTGGCAACTCTACTTCATTCAAGTCTATCAGTACCGTTTTTCCAACAGCATTTGCTTGCTTCATGTCTCAGCCTTTTCTGTTCATGACTCTTCAGAGGACTCTACCCACATCTTTCCTTACACTGCAGAGTGTTAGTTTCCTCATCTGTACAGTGAATATATTTAGGTAAATGACCTTTATGTGCCTTTTGGCTTATTCTGAGCTGTTTAAACCTATATAAGTGACAGGTATCACCATGTTTAAAACTACAAGAAAAACACAGATTTACTTTGTTTTATGAAATAACTATAGATTTAGAAAATAAGGATAGGATGATGGATAGGAAAATAGATATAGGTATGTTCTGGCTATCTATAGCTACAGAAGAAACAACTCCCAATGTAGTGGCATTAGACAATGAAAAGGTATTATGATCATTTTCTTTCTCACAGTTCTGGAGTTAATGTCCTCAGCCAGGTGACTCACTCAGGGTCTCTCATGAAGTTATAGTCAGGTTGAGGCTGGGGCTTGAGTCCCTCCACTCAGACTCACGTGTCTGATGATTAATGCCTTTTGGCCTGTACACTTACCTGTGGTCTCTCCTTGTGGCCCAGGCTTCTTCACAGGATGGAAACTTGGTTCTAAAAGCAAGTGAACCAAGAAAGAGAGACAATAAGGAAGAAGTTGTTTTAAGTTTCTGATCTAGTGTCAGAAGTCATACTGCTTGACTTTTGCTGCATTCTAGCATGCTATTTGTTAGGATTAAGTCACTAAGACTGGTCCCCCCATAACAGCACATTCAAGGCAGTGTTGAAGAATTTGTGGACAGGTTTTAAAACCAACAAAGTGTGTGTGTGTGTGTGTGTGTGTGTGTGTGTGTGTGTGTGTGTGTGTGTGTAGACATTCTATTTCCAGTTGAAGATGATGTTACAGCCTGTTATGTAAACCATTAATAGCCCACAAAATTGTTGAAGATTCTTGGATGACCACTTTGCTATTTGTATATGTATGTACAGCCTATGTTTAAATACTAAGTTCCCTTTGTAAAGGAACTATTTATTAAGGAATCTTTAATAGAGTATCATAATTACACATTTTTTTTATTATATCAAGCTTACACTGGGTCATCCATACTTTCTTTAACAGATGTATGTATCTTCTAATTTTGTGTGCTAATGCTCTGAACATCTTTTGTGTTTATTCCAGAACTTTAGTCACTAATTAAAACAGCTTATTTATTTGAATAGCACTTAGGAAGTGATATGCAAACAAGCTCTGCTTGATATTTTGGCAGCAATTATGTCCAATTTCATCCGAGAGTTCTTCTGCTCAGCACATACTCTTCATCTGAAAGTGAAAGAAACTTCAATCTTGGAGCTCTTCTTTCTCCCCTTTGAAATCCACACTCGCTACTGTGTCATCATCCTCAGCAACCAAAAGGTGAGAACAGAACTGTGGTGTGTGCTTTCATCATGGGCTGTCACTTTAATGAAATAACCAGTAAAAGCAAGTTGGAGGCAGTGGAAGACTCTATAAATGTAAGTAACAATTTCTGCCCTCTAGTTGTTAAACAAAGAGCTTATCCTCAAGAATAAGCAAAGTGTTACACAAGTTGTGGGTAAATTTTCTAACGGCTGCATGAGGCAATCCCATAAGAAATGTGGAGGCATGCATAACCTTACTGTGGCCCTATCTGTATCAGTTACACGTGTTTATTAGGTCACATTTCCCATGGATCAGAGGTCCAGTTATGACCTAGACGGTCCAATACTTAAGGACTGTCAAGTCTTTAGTCAAACAATCAGCCAAGACTGGGTTCTCCTCAGAGGCTCAACTGAGGAAAGGGCAGCTTCTAAACTCTCACAGGTTGTTGGTAGAATTAATTTTCTAGTGGTTCTGGAATCCATCCAGCTTGCTTCTTTAAAGCCAGCAAAGAAGAGAGACAGAGAGAGGAGAGGAAAAGATAAAGGAGAGAGAGAGAGAGAGTGGGTAAAGAGAAATAGACAATTTAGAGAAATTTTACGGCATTGTCCCCTTCCAGAAAGACACTACCATGTGCTGAACTGAAGAGGGATTTTTTTAAAATTTTGTTATCATTAATCTACAATTACATGAAGAACATTATGTTTACTAGGCTCTCCCCTACCCCAAGTTCCCCCCACAAACCCCATTATAGTCACTGTCCATCAGCATAGTAAGATGCTGTAGAATCACTACTTGTCTTCTCTGTGTTGCACA